AAGCCATCTAGTTAGTTAGTTTGTTAGTATGTTGCTGTCAGTTTTAAAAGGATTGACTTAATTTACTTATTAATTAAATGAGTAACCTTTTCACTGTTTGAATGGAACAGTTAATTCTGTGCAGAGGAGGTCACTTTGATTATAAACATAATTGTTCCAACAAATGTACAGAGTTCTAGAATATCAACTTTTTAGAAATTAATATTGTCAGTATGATTTTGGTGAATGTTGGCAAGACTCGATAATGATCATGAGGCAGTGTAAAGGAGCTATGGCAACATTTGATATTTGTAATGTCATATGAGGGTACTTTCTGTATAATACTAGAAGCTTTCATGGCCCATACGCTGTGTTACAGCCAAATAAAATTTCGTATTGGAAGCTCCAGCTTCTTCCATAAACACTAAAGAGTTCCCAAAGCGTACGACCAAAGAATAATTTATTGAATTACTTGCAATTTACTAGCAATATAATTATACAAGAATGTCATTTAAGATCATAAAATTATAACTTAATGAACAGACTTTGCTGGGAATTTGTCACATTCTCTTAAAGCCTGACCATTTTAGTTTGAAAGTCATGTTTTTGCAACGATATTAAGATAACACTTCAGAGTGAATTTGCTTTGTATGTGTCGCTTAAATTCTTCTCTGTTGATACACGAGTACTATGAAAATCTTCTATTGACTGACATAAACTACTACACCCTGCTTCTCATTGGAAACTTCTTACCGTAAGCATTTTGAGGACATGTTTTAAGGGATGCATCCTGTTGTGTGTTGATCGTTAGATTGACAGTCCATCTGCACAAAAATAATTATTACTATTTAAATGTTTATTATGATCCACTACATGTTTCAACCTTAATTTGTCATCTTCAGGTAGTTCTCTTTAACTGTTTGAAACTAATTGATGTGACTGCTAAATTGTATACATATTTTCTGTTGCTGACTTCACCATGTAAAGGACTGTCTTATGCAGCTCACCTATTTAAGTAGAGAGGTTTAAGTAGGTACTGGTGGAAAGCTGCAGTTAATCTGAACTACGGCTTTCTACTTAAATAAGGTAAATTGTGTAAGACAGTCCATTATGTGATGAAGTCAGCAACAGAAAATATGTATACAATTTAGCAGTCATATTTGTTAGTTTTGAACACTTAAGGAGAATAACCTGAAGATGACCAGTTAAGGTCGAAACATGCAGTGGATCATAATAAACATTGAGACTATAATAAAAAATTGTTGTGTAGACAGTCTGTTGGCCTAATTATTTTGAAGACGTTTCATCAGAAGTTTCAAACTGCTAGTCTGAGTGTTTTTAAATCAGTTAGTTTGTATTACCACCAGTTTATTTAGTCTAATTCTCTTGTTTTAATTTATATCTTAATTGCGTCATGTTTGTGTTATATCAATACATATATTTATTTTTCCAGTCTATACACAAAACTTGTTTTAAAATAATGTTGTTAAAATTATTTATAACATTTACAATATAAATTGCATTATGTTATATTTTATGGCGCTTTTCTGTGTCGTATAATATTACATTTATCACAGCGCTTTTGATTTCGACGACATGTTTCGATGTTTACCACATCATCATCAGGCTTATCAATTCATATATTTTTAAAAACTATTGTACATTTGTGCATTGCGTTTATAGATTTTTAATTTTCAGTCTTCATCTTTGTTTTGGAGTATGTATTTGATGTTCATTATCTGTGAAATTAATTTTTCAAGTCGTGATTATGGATTTTGACATAGGAAATATAATAACAATTCAAAGAGTGTAAGGATCTATTATATTTGTATTACGTTTAAAACTTACATCCTTACACTCTTTGAATTGTTATTATATTTCCTATGTCAAAATCCATAATCACGACTTGAAAAATTAATTTCACAGATAATGAACATCAAATACATACTCCAAAACAAAGATGAAGACTGAAAATTAAAAATCTATAAACGCAATGCACAAATGTACAATAGTTTTTAAAAATATATGAATTGATAAGCCTGATGATGATGTGGTAAACATCGAAACATGTCGTCGAAATCAAAACCGCTGTGATAGATTGTCATATTATACGACACAGAAAAGCACCATAAAATATAACATAATGCAATTTATATTGTAAATGTTATAAATAATTTTAACAACATTATTTTAAAACAAGTTTTGTGTATAGACTGGAAAAATAAATATATGTATCTCTTGTTTTAGTTAATGCTATATATATCACACTGTCCTTCCATCAATGCTGTTACTACAGCTAAATTAGTTTGATGTTTGTAAATGTGAAATGCAATGTTACATTTCCTTGCTGACAGTGTATCAGTTTACAATTACATATATTTTATGTGTTTTTGCAGTGGCGCTAAAGTTTGGTGTTGGTGTGGCGCTAGTTCTAGTAGCGCACGTGGTACTGGTTAGGAAGTGGAATGCGGGTCGGTATTCTTTGTTTCTGTGCCTCGCTCGCTCGCACTGTCAGCATGACTCGCTCTTTGTAACAGTTACTAACAATGCATTTCCCATGTTAGAGATATTGCATTCTCTAAGTGTCGTGATTTGTATGTGTGTGTGTTTGTGTGGTTGCCTTACAGACAGAATAGACGCAGCTGTAGTGCTTGCTGAAATAAACCCAGTTTTGAATTGTAAGGAATGACATTAATATTGTAAAAATTCTGTTAATGCAGTCAGGTTGGGTACCATTCCATGTATATAGCTGTATGGTTATTGTGTTTCATGAAGTTTTTAAAAAAGTTAATTACCATTTGGACTTATATGATTCTTTCTTGCCATTGGGTTAGCTTGCCTGTTTAATGTTTGAATGATAGAAATTTTGACTGCTTAATTACAGTAGCTGTGATTGGTCTGTTTGGTAGTAAGTGTGATTAAAGGCATTTTTATAAATACTTTGGAGCATGCAGTGGTCCATCAGATGCTGTGTTGCTGTAGTGTGATGTACTGTGCCTTGTGAACAGTTTATGTAGTGACCTATCAGCTGATTGCCCTAGCATGAATTTGGAAGAGAATGTCAGCAGTATTGTACTGAGTGAACATGTTAGCTGTTGAAGTGAAATCGAATTGCCTTAAGAAATGGAAGTTTTGTACCGTATATGAATTATCAATTGTTGAGTTTGTACTTAGCTCATCTACAGTGATTGACAAGAAGATATCCGTCTTCTGGGTTATTGCGCTGTGTAGTCTGGTCGATGTTTACCAACGTTTCAGAGGTCATACTGCCTCCGTCATCGCCCTGATGACGGAGGCAGTATGACCTCTGAAACGTTGGTTAACATCGACCAGACTACACAGCGCAATAACCCAGAAGACGGATATCTTCATACTCACCGCTGTGAGAACCTCAAGTCTTACAGTGATTGACAACTTTTAAAGGATAGATTTAATTAGATTAAAACTTAAAATTAGCTTAAAATGTTACTTTATCTACTGCTTATTAGTGGTTTGTCCTCCATGCCATATGAAATTATGCCACAACTCCTTTTGGAATTGTACTGTAATATTTCCTCTGTAGAGCAACATTTACACTCCAGGATTTTTGAAGTTGTCATTTCTGTGATGCCAGATGTGTGATTATGCTGCCACGATTTTGTCCTCTTTTTCTACACCAGTTGTAATTATTTTACTACCACAACTAGGTTAAAAGTGCCTTGTTCCTGGAATCAGTTTTTGTTTGCAAGTTGCCTAGGCATTTGGATTACTGGAAATGAAGTAGAGAAA